ACATCATTTCAGAAGACTACAGGTACACCTCTCACCTTAGGGTGAAAGAATCAATTTCATGTACATTAATTTATTGGCATAACAGAGTCAAGGTCAAGCAACTAATTTATCCATCCAAGTGAATCAGGAATTAAACTTTTATAAAATTTAAGTTGTAATTTACAAAACAAAAGACAACATTAAATTATGCCCAGTAAAAAAAAAAATAAAAATAAATAAAGGAAATACTTTTTAATTAGCATTGACAGCTTGCCAGTATAGTTGGAAGAATTATTTTCCAATGTGCTTAGCATGACAGCTGGATCTTTCAGTATACTATGTATGCATCATGATCATAAATTCAGAAGCTGTATAATTTGAACTGAGTAGCCAGTTCTCACAATTGTGTACCAAAAAAAAAAAAAGACACAATGTTTACATTAGAAAATCTGTTCCTAAAGGTACATTTAAATTAAAGCTTTCCTTTAAATTCAAAGGCGAGTTGCCTGCACTATACAAAGAAAATAAAACCTCCAAAACTAACATGATGAAGACTAAAAACTAAAAGGAAATTATTTTTTTAAAACAGCAGCTTTTAAATAGTAGTTGTTTTGACACTCATAATTAACACACACTGTATAAAAAGATGTTTAGAATTTGAGAATACTCTAGCTAATCAAAGATGGCTACAATAAAGTACAACTTTTTTTTTTTTTTTTAAGATATGCTCAGTTTATAGGCATTGAATTCTTTCCAATCTAGATAAAGTATCTATTGTGCCTTCAAAAACTGTGCTAAATGTTTTGGAGGGGGATTGTGTTCTTTGCTAAACTGAGAGATAGGATCACTCCAAAACCAAAGTACAGTATGTTCCCAAAAGGGTGAATAATTCAATCTTCCACCTTGAGAACTCATTATTACCCTGATATTTTGAGTATGACAAAAATGTCAAGGCCTGGAAGCTCTAACTCTAAGCAGGCACAAAGAAACAAGAAGTAGCTGAATACAAAATAATACAGTACACACAACAATGTAAAACCCCTAGGGAAATCTACCAGAAAAGCCCTCAGAAAACAAACCACACTACAGTGTGCATGCCAGTAAGCATCCCTGTATCCAAACCAGATCTACATCAGGCAAAGAATATGAATTTTGCTATTGTTTGTATGACATAAAAGGGTGAGCTACAGTAAGACAAATAAAAATAAGTAATAAAATCAATCAAATATCAGCAAACATGGAAACTAAGACTATAGGCAAAAGTTTAATAAAAATTACTGCCCCTGAGCTGCTTATTGCCACTGTTCTGGTAGAGGTCACGATGCCCTGAAGTGGAATGTAAACTATTCAGTCGCTTCAGCAGAAAGTCTGGCAGCTTGTCTTCATCTGCTGATGTTTTTACAATAAATCATCAATCTTGACACCGACATGGTTGAGATGCACATGGCTATTTTGCTCTCCTTGTTCTTCTGTTGGGCCAGCAACGTTCAAATACAGTTAGAATACAACTCGTCAGTGATTCCAGTAAGACCCGCCAAATACCTCCAAGCACTCAGGGTGAAGCTCGAAAACATAGTTCGTTAGACACTCACATTCCTCTCCCTCTTTAGGTACCTAAATCCATTTGACTTCCAAGCAAGTGCATAAACATCCCTGACAACCTGGTCTAAGACAGCCCAGTTCCTCAACCAGAATCAAGGTTAAGATTACAGCAAATGACAGTTCAATTTGCTACCACATTCTTACTAAATTAGAACTTGCTGTCTAATTGCAGAATGTTACCCAATTAAAACTGGGTACTCTGGGCAACAATGATCTAAAGCTGAAGTTCACCCATGCTTATGTCATATTAAAGTGACCCTGGCCACCAGGAGAGCTACTGAGTCCTTTCCTTTTGCTTGCACAACTGTTCCTATATCCACATGATGAGCCAAATCAAGAAATTGATTTAGCTGTAAACTAATCTGACTAAAAATTATCAGCTCTAGCCAGATCATCTTGTCAATCTACCTCATTACATAGTTATCTGAAGAACAGGAGTGGCAGAAAAGGGGAGACTGAAAGCAAAGTCATCCCCTAAAAATAATAATTAAATATATATCTATATAAACTTGCCAGGATTATTAAAATTACAGTTATCACTTTAGAACGTAAAACCAAACCATGATAGGTAATGAAAAGAAAACCAAATAAAATGAAGCCACCTTCCCGTGAAAGTGAGGTTTCAGACAGGATTAATGTGTCAGTGTACTCACCATGTGCTAAGAACATTTGTAGACATTTATGTCATACTTACAACAAGGCAATGAAGAGAAATTTACAAAACCTATGACAATACTTAATGGCAGATACAGACAGACAAGAGATTGAGGAAATCATTATATGGATACAAATATATACTGGATGAGCAAAACAAATAACTGTACAATATGACGAAGTAAGAGAGCATGCCAGAAACTCCATTGTGTTACTGGCAAATGAAAAGTAATACAAGAGGTGAAAAAAGAATGAACCGATGAAACTGATGAGAGCTGGGAAGTTATTACCTCCTCATACACACAGTATAGCAAAAATCAGTCACTGGAGAAAAAAAAGGGGCGGGAGGGGGTGAATCCCACAAAAATAAAACAAACAAAAACCACTATTCAGGCACCAAAAACCTCAGACAGTAAAAGGCTGTACTATTCTCTCCAACTAGGATGCAAATGTATCTATTCTCAGACTACACCAGTAAAGACTTCAGAAGCAGAAATGTGTCAAAAGCAAGTATCTACTAAACATACAACAACTCTGCATATAAGCAGACCAGAGTATCCAAGTTCAAGGTGGGGAGGAGAAGTTGGGGGCAGGTTTGGAGGCAAAGGAGAATGCAAAAAGAGAAGAAAGTGGTAGGGCTCTTTTGTTCAGAATGAAAGCGATTAAAATGTGAGGACTCTTTTTGGGCTTTCACAGAAAGTAATTACTAAACATTAGCTTTGCTGTACCATACAAAGGTTTAACTCAGTATTAGTCAGCTTCATTGTACTCTACAAGCAACACTAAAGATATCATCCTCAGTAGATTAAAAATCTCCAACTTGCACATTAGAGTTACATAAATGACAATATAAAAGACAATGTGACACCACAGGAAGTATTTTGATACTATTTGTAGATACTTAAGGTAAGAGATTTGCTTTCTAGTATTGCTCTTGCATATTTTTTAATGTATGTGCAGATAGCATCAGCCCTTCCAAATGGAACACAACACAGACATCATTAACAATTCATTTCAGTCTCACCAAAGCAATTTGTATATTGGGATTTTCAGAAAAGGCAGTGTCTTTTTGGAAAATATCAAGGAGAGTTCCACATAAGGGACAACCTGAAGGACAGCAAATAATGCATCTGTGTGAGAAAATGAGGCATTAAAACACCAGACTGACATTATTGTCAAACAAGAACAGGCGAGAGTATTGTATTATACTAGATTAAAAAACATCAGACAAGCCCAAAATACATACCTTTGTACATTATATAAAAGATACTACCTGTGTTACAGGCAGCTTTTCAACTTTTCTTGCTTATACTCCACTCAATTCAGGCAAGGCAATGTACCATTGAACAGCAAAAGCTTCCACTGGATTATTGTATTAACACATCTGGACAATCACAGCAAGTGATTGCCTTACAAAAAGCTTATCAAACAGAGATGAAGCTACAAGGACAAGGCAGAGCAAAAATGAAAACATCATCACAAGGAAAAGAATATTATGTCCCCAGAATAGCTGCTCAAGTAGAGAGAAAGCAAATGAAGATGTCAGGAGAAGTTCAAGGCCAGGCTGAAAAGCAATTAGTAAGATGAAAGATACAAAGTGGAACCTTTTACCCTTTAACAAGGCAAAGATCCAGTAAAGACATACTGCTGGAAACATGATCTTTAATTGGGAATAGAGCAAAGAAATTTGCTCCTGAAAGAAAAAAAAAAAAAAAAAAAAAGTGAACTATGCTGCTTGCTGTGAGGTAAAACCCAAAATATATATGCATCCTTTGCAATGATATGCACCAGATGCAAACTCTGAATTTCCCTATAGTCAACAGACTGCTTTGATTACAGGAACTATTAGCAAAGCAAGTTTTAAAATCCACAATTTAATAAAGTTCAGCATTAAAAAAACATTAACCAAATTCAGTATCTAAAGTAGCATCAGTGGACAAAAATGCTTACCTAAAAATAATGCCATGCACCCCAAAAAGAGAAAATTAAGGCACTGAGAATATGTACTCTAAACATTGAGGAAAGGCATAGACTAGAAGAGCACTTAAAATAGCAGAATAAGCAAACTGAGAGGGAGCTGCAGCTGGTTCTCCAATTACTAGTTATTGTTCAAAAATGCATATGCAAACCAAAATCCCTCAGAACATTTGTAGTCTCAAAGATGACTTACACAGTAGTTGAAAGATCTATAAACTATCAAAATTTAAATTATTCAAGTAGCTGCAAATACTTTAAAGAACAAGATGAAGGAGGTGAAATGAACCAGAACACAGGGAAGTATTAATATAGTATCTTCTGCAGTATTTCCTAAGGACTATAAAAGTAATCTCTCAAGTTTTCTCTTCTGAAAGCCCAGGCGCACACAGTATGCTCAAATAGCTCTGCTATCAGTCTGTGGTAACTGCTCATGCCTCAGATTGAATACGAAGTCACTGAATGATTGGTTTTATTAATGTGAACACTCAGGGAATCTTGCAAAATCAACTGCAGGGGAAAAGAAGATGAAGTACAGCTCAGTGTTGGTGAGGGCCATATTAGAAACTCAGAAAAGAAATGTTTATACAACTACACAAGTATCCTATTCTACACATTTTTTTAAAAAATCACAGTACCTATTTTTATCTTGTCTATGTGTTTAACGTAGCAGAAAGTAAAAAACTACTACTGAAAGACAGAAAGTAAAAGGAGTGAAGAGTAAAGCACTAAAAAAGATGTATGTATGCATGACGGTCAGCAATGTTTCACAGTACTATTTTAGGAAATACCTGAGTAGATAAACAGCCCTTTCAATATCACTGAGTTCTTCATCAACTGTCAATCTTTCTATTTCTTCTGGTGTCTGTCAAGCATGAAACAGAGATTATGAGTTTACAATGTCTTACTATTTCCTCATATTAATCTTCTTTAAAAAAAACCCTTCCTCCCCACATCCAGGGATAGTTCTATGAGTAATTTGAATTTAATCCTTGAAATCTCTAGCCAACATTTCAAATTCAATCAAATAAATCTTTCACCAAGAAAAGATGGGATGTAATAGATGTACAGTTCCATGTAAGGCACTATCACTATTAATCACTTAATCAAGTCACATATAAATTAATCTAAAGATGTTAGTCTATTTTTTTCCAGCTTAATATTCTTCTTCTACTAAAATATTAAGTCCCTGCTATACAGAATTCGAGATTGTTTATGCCAAAATTACCAAAAACAATTTTTAGTATCCTGGTGCTGTAAAATATAAACTGCCTTACTCAGTTAGCTGTGCATAAATAAAACGAGACACAATTTCAAATGGATTTTCAAGCACCGTTCTATTTTGAAGTATGTACCTTCAGGCTCCTGCGTACTGGCCTCTCTATAATAGTTAGTTCCTGCAGGTCTTCTATGTATCCAAACAAATTGCTCTGACTAAAATCCATTTTGGAGAAGAAGATTATCGGATG